TCGATAAGAAGAAGACAAGTAGAGCTGCTTACGTTAGTAACACCTTAAACAACAGTCTGTTAGGATATATTCCATAAACCAAACATAAAACAACCCAAATTAAATATATTAAGTATAAGCTCATCAGGATTAAAAAAAAAAAAAAAAAAAGTCTGTGTAGACATCAAACAGACTGAATGCTTCCAGACAGATTTCTGTCTTGATAGCTTTTCTTAAAGTATTACTGTACCTCGAACTAAATCTAAACTAACAAAATGTGAAAAGTGGGTGTTAAACATGTGTTTCTTTCCAAAAACAATCAAGCTGCAGCTGTGACAAATTGTGAAAGTTTGACATGTTTTCATCAAACTGGAAGGCGACTTAATTGGTTCATACTACAAGAAGCTGCCAGATTGGTTTAACATCTCTTAAATATGTTTGAGCCATAAAAATCACATAAAACTTTTTGTTGATATGCATTTAGGTTGACCACTGTACTGAAGTGGGAGATTTCTGACAGCTATATTTAAAACCTACAGTACATGAAGAATTTGTTTCTTAAAAAGGACAATTCCAATAGAAAAATCAAGGTCAACCACAATAAAAAAGTAAGAAAATGTTATATATAGTTGCTCTGTTTTACAAGATTAAAACGATGAAAGGACACCAAGTTGCTGAGGTTATTAACAGTAGTGGCTGTGGGCTGCACAAAAGAACACTACACTTTGACTTGGTGTTCTCTCTGGTCTTACAAAAGCCTTAAAAAAATAAAGTCACTAAATACAAGGTAAAAGGGTAGGTGGCAAACCTTACAAAACTCCTAACTTGACTCAAAATGACAAATAAATAATATAGTAAATAATAATACAGTGTCTTCTCAACTAGCTCCTACAAAATACATTTTTATAGATGATGACATATCAGAAGAACTGTATGCTTAAATAGAACAAATTGAATGCTATCTAAAAAGTAAAACATATTAAAGGGTGGGCACTAGTTTATGTTCTCTCATCCTTGACCTCTCTAAGTGGCTTCAAATATCTGCTAAGTTCCTGGCAAAAAAAAAACCAATGCAGACATGTTCCTGTTTTTAGTATTCTACATCACTTTACAACCTTGCTGTTTTTGCTTCGTTACTTTAATACCATTTCCTTTCATTTGTTCTTCTCAATTTATATGCTTTCTTTTATGATCGTCTACTGTTGTCTTTGTTGTCTACTGTTGTCATCACTCTTTGTTAAAATCAGGTCTCTCAACAGACTTCTGGCTGCACAGAAGTCTGTTGGAGTCAACCTCCCCACTATCACAGACATCTACACCTCCAGATGCAGGAAGAGGGCTACCTGCATCATGAAGGACCCCACTCACCCAGCACACAAACTTTTTGCTCCATTCCCCTCAGGCATAAGGTTAAGGAGCATTAAGTGTAGAACCTCTAGACTGAGGAACAGCTTCTACCCTGAGGCTGATAGACTTATGCATCTCTAACCAGAATAATCACTGTGAAAAAAAAATCACATGTTGCTGCTGATCTGTTTCATGTTGATGTGTTCATTCGTACACATCTGCACACACAGACTCATGTTTGTGCTGCTGTTCGGCGTGTTGTTTTTATGCTATTAGTGCTTAGCATATTTTTAGGTAATGTTTTTTTTGTTGTTCATATCTTAGATCTTATTACTGTTTTTCTTTTACATTTTATTGTTGGATGAAACTGGGACCCTAAGTACACAATTCCGTTCCACCACATGTACCACATGTGGCGTGAATGACAAAAAAAAACAAAAAACTCTGACTCTCTGACTCTGACTCTCTTGTAAATTAGTCCTTGAGGCTCAATGACACTAACCTGTATAAATAAAGGTTGAATGAATGTAAACAAAGGAGTGGAATATTTTGGCAAATCATGCATAAAGGCCAAAGAACCACCATACACTTATGTATGTATA